TATATATAGATCTTGATAAAAAAACAGTGTCTGCAGCTACGTGTCGATTCCTGTTAAAATACGTAGTCTTTATATTAAAAAGGCGGGGTGAAATTCGATCCAATATATTTCAGGGGAGTTTTTTTCTTTATAATTCGTCGTTAAGTATAAAAGCCCTCACGGCAACATTGACATTTAAAACATGCCGATGTTAGAAAAGACTGTGACCCAGTGTACTGCAAATGTTTTTTGAAAGTTTAACTTATCTATAAAGATCTTACCCCATATTTATCAAAGCGCACGTCTTCGTGGCTATATAAATCTCTTTTGACAAGTAGTGTGAATACAAGGGCTTCAAACGGGCCTGAGACAGGCTCAAGTACTTTGCGTATATTATAATTGCATTTACGATATTCTCGTTTGCAGCTATGTGATGTTATTTGAACCGTATAAAAGATAGCTGGCGAAGACAGGCGGTATCACAATTCTACGTACCTTTTTCGCGGGCAGGTTGAGTGTTGAAAAAAGTTTCGGAAAAAATCAGGCCGCTTTTAGCGTTGCAAAGAACTGATAAGACGCGAAAGAGTTCGAGAAGGCGCCGTCAGCTGTCTGAAAGAACTGCTTCCTCTTGACCGAACGGATAGAGCTGAACAGCGTATATTTCCGAGTCATATCGTGGGACGGAGATTTACAGTAAAGATCCGGTGTTTTGAGGAAATAAAGCAAGCAAGTTTATCGAGAAAGAAGAAAGCGAATTTGAAAGTAAACACTTTTGAAGACTGTTGTAATTAGGGCGGTTATTACAGCGTCTTATATAGCATTACATCAGCAGGTCCTTATCGTTTGATTTATGGACGATATAGCGGTTGTTTACGGCGGACTATACGTTTATTCCACGGAGCAAAAAATTTCGTCTGTGAATTAAGAGACGAGCTCTGTACGGGCTGCTGCAGTCGCTGCATTTCTTCTATCGGGAAATTTCGAGCATTTTGACCTCAAAAAGGTGACGGAAATCTTCTGCTGAGCTCGTGCCAAACGTTTGTCATGAATCCATTGGCTTTGAATTGCAAGAACAAGGAACGGAAAATCCAGAACTTTTCGAGCGAGTTCAGGAAAGGTTTTTTCGTCCGCAACAAATGCGAACAGTTAAAACTGGAAAAGCAACACAAATCTCTTGAACGCTTGCGTGCCAACGAAAGCGTGAATCTCACGAACCGGAAGAAAGAAATTCTAGGCTTACAAATGTCGATAATGTCTTCAAAACCCGAAGAAAACTGCCAGAATTCGTCCAGCGCAAAACGAGAAAACACTCAGCCTTTTCCTGTTCCCGATATTTGTGTGAACTCTCGAAAGACACGCTGTCGATCGAGGCATATGAGCATTATAGATGCCTCAGATCTGAAAACATTTTTGAATTCAAACAAAAAAGATGAAAAGATGTTGTCACGATCGTTTAGTGTCGCTGGTCTACTCAATTCGAGTTTAAGACGAAAACATTTCGTAGCACAAACTGACTTTAACAACAACGATGAAGAGGAAGGTTCCGGTTCGCCCGAAGAATCTCAGGTGGAGAAACCATTGTGCAAGCTCCTTCCTCCGATACAAATGGCCCCCTTGCACAAACAGAAGTCGAGATCTTTGCGAAAAGTATCGTCGAATAGCGAAATCTCCTCACGACAGAATATCTCTGCGAAACAAAAGAAGTTTTCAGGCTCTTGGGATGATTTGCAATACTGCAGATATCTCAGACGGAGATCAGTTCAGGACACCTGCGTGGAATTGGCGTAGATTGATACGAAGGCGAGAAATATGCTGTAGCAAATATTACATGGAAAATAACATTCTCAAAGTAACGTTTTAATGAGGCTAATTTAAGTAATGTATACTATAATTATAAAATATACGATATATGATATCAATTATTCAATCTATATGAATATATGTGCCATTTAGGACCGGTTTTAAAAACCCAACTGCAATTTCGCGAATCGAAGTTAATTAGCCCTAGAAAGAACAATCCTGTTTGGGAAATCGTGCCTAAATAACTCAATGCATGCAACGGTTCCAGTGAGCATACGTTAATAAAGGCAAAAGTAGCCATTTTAAGTGCATGGCTGTGTCGGCTGAGTTGTTGTTTTTGATTTTTAAAAGATATCCCAGGAATCTTGATTCTTTTCCATATAGTTTCTAGTGGAAAGATGGATTTTCTTCCTAATCAAAGTCTAATTTAGAATCAGAGAGACGCAACAATGCATTTTTAACAAACGACTTAGGCGGGACAAGAATGTGTAATATAACTCAATAGAAAGTACGTTTTTGAGATTTCCTTGTCAAAACAACGTTTTTTTATGGGCATATGGGTTATGTTTACAAATATATATATATTTAGAACAGTGCATGTGTATATACATACAATTGGCAACTAATTTGGGGCCTGTAATGTTCTTTAATATGATTTAAATAATCCTATCTTTACAAGTACCTATAGAGATACAAGGTATGCGTATATACCAAGGAAGAGGGGATGTTAAATCGAATTTTTCGATGGAAAATAATAGAACTATATAAACAAAATTACATTTTTTACAGAATCTGATAAAACTTTGCCGACTTTTTTTACTATAGTCTTTTTATCTAGACCTTTTGGCATTCGTACGATAGTTAGCTATAATTAGCTATCGCATCTATCGTTAATTCACATAAATGCTATAATGAATTCATTACAGCGCTCAGTAGTTGGGATAAACCATTAGCTTTTCATTAATTGGTAAAAACAAGCTTCATGATAGCCACAACATCGATTCTAATCTGTTCGAACAAAGGCTCTTTTCTAAACATATTTTGGCAGTTGGCCATCGCTTATGCTCTTCGTCTTCCGAAAGGTCGAAGGTGTTGGAAACGAATGTAATTTCATCCGAAAATATATTCAAGACGATTAGAAAAGAATGCATGCAAGTATTTGACAGTTTTTTTCGCATCTATATTGCATTTTGTGATCGGCATATGACTTTGCGAAAAACTGAAATCTAAGCTAACTATACACGGTCGCGATTTTTAAACAAGCTTAAAGATCAGTTACATTAATGCACTTTGGCATGAGTTTTTAGATGCGATTTTCTACTTTTGATAGATGAGAGCAAGTGGATAAGTTACGGCTGTTTACATCTGAGCACCTATAAATCAAAGCAAGCATAACTAATCGTTCGTTTACATCCATCAAACGAAGGTAAATAGGTAATCACAGCGTAAACGGCCATTGAAAACAAGTCTTTATTTTTGAAATCGCGCAACATTTAACATCAACGGACGTTGCAAAGTACATCTTAATGAACATACAGCGTTTTTTTATACAAGATTTTTACAAATGCCATTAATCTTGTGAGAGATAAGTTGCGAAGAAACGGTAAAAAAACGTGCGAAGTGATTCTATTTTGAACTACAAGTGCAGCGAGACATTTCGGCGCCGAAACCCGGCAGTAACTTCGAAATAGTTCCGTGTGGGGCCGTATACCGTATCAATCGTCGCGTGGCCCTGAATAGACGGGGATGAATCTCCTCAAGTATCGTTTGTCGTAGGGTTTTTTACCGTATAGTTGTTTATGGTCACTAAATATGGTCATTATTATTTTATATTTATGCTTCGCAATCATTTTAGAGAAAGTCTCGAATTCACAATTTCCGATTCGAGGATTTGTTACCGCGAAATAACGAAAGGGCACAAAAAATGCGATTGCTAAAAATGCACAAGTTGGACACTCGTGAAATATGTGGAGTTGATGCATGTGTTTTGTGTATTTTTAAAGCACATTTGTCTATCAACAGGTCATCCATTGCGCGCTTTATTGCGTTATGCGATTTTCAACTAGCACTAACAGGATTTGAGATTGGTAAAGCTACAGCCGAATTATAAAAAACAAGTGTTGCCAAATGATATAATTTATAAAATACCACGCTGTCAACATGAAACTCCTCGCAGACTTGCTGTATTGTAATACGGCGCTGTCATTTCACGCTGTGCTTTGTGCAGTTGTGCTGAAAGGTTTTAAATGTTTATAGCGTAGGAACAAAGGTCTGTCTTGTCGTTTTTTATACTTCGTTTATCTTAGATACAATCTTGATTTGCCTCACGCAGCGAGCGAGAACAATTACGAGATATAGTTTTGATAAATACTATTCTAGTCCGACCACATCTCCAATGGCTAGCAAATAAATCATGGACAGATCTATTTATTAATACTTGGTCATACCAAGATCGTAATCACATTTCAAATGGGGGAGTATCTTTCTGCCGCCGCCACCCCCCTGCATATTTTGGTGGCAAAACGATAGTCGGAGATTATAAGCTTTGAAATTCAAAGACAATAGTTCGACATATTTCGAAGCAATTTGTCAGAAATATAGTCATGGTATATATGGTATAATAAGTTAATGATACAATCTTATACATTTGAAATGCCCGTTATGATATTACCGCATAGACGCCGTATAAATCTATCACAAAAGAGCCACCACGTCCTACTCGCTACTACCTGTTTACATCAAACATTTTCATTCTAAGGCAGTTTAAGACATTGCAAAGCGGGGGACGAGGCAAAAAGTTACGATTTTTGGCAAAGATACGGTCGTAATTTCTAAGACTCCAAATGTTTGCCTAAAAGAATTGCTCTCAATATAATGAGGTATTAAAGAATGCAAACAGAAAGAACTATCATGTATTCTGTGATGATTGTAAAGCAAAACTTCACTGAAGTCAAAAACATGCCGTCTGATTCTATAAACTTGTGTCTCAAAATCGTTTATCAAAATCTCACTGCTGTAAAAATAACCGAAAATTGTCTTTCTTTAATCGTGAAATACCCTATACAATTCTGGGTTAAGCTTTCTTTGCCAAGCATTATCGTTCCCCCAGCGTGCGGCCGTTTCAACCGACAGAGTTTTTGTGCGGACGCCAACGCAATTCTGTGGGGTTATACGCTGCTATAGGCCCACCGCTTAGCTAAATCCCTGTCGGCAAAACTATAGCGAGCAACTCAATATAGCCATAAGGACAAGCGTTAGAACGGGCGCGTGATATGGCGAAAAGCTGTCTGCTTTCGCTGGCTTTCCGTCTGCTATTACTTCTTGTCTGTTCATATCACATTCACGGCGATGTTTATATGCACAATCCCAGAGGATCCAACGACAGACTGAATAGCCCTGGTCAAAATAGGCAGAATGGAAATCGTTTGTTCGACTCACAAGTAAGTAACTCACAGTTCGACCAGATATTTTAATAAAAGCACTTCGTATGAAACACGAATTGAGAAATGTAAATTTGCATCAGAGTTCGTCGATTGCCATGACTGTTCAAGTAAGGGAAGGAAATTTACTTTAAGTTTTTTTAAACTATTTTACGCGGTTACGCAAGGGTAGCTATACTTTTTAAGACGAACAATATATTGACCTAAGCTCTTTGATTTCCTCTCATCAGTCCTCAAACAGTGTAGCTCTTATATATGATTACAGCAGCGATTCAAGTCCATTGAACCTGTAGTTCTAAGCGTGTTCATGATACGCACGCGGGCACCCTTAACCTCGATGACGCAGAGGTTTATACGTTAAAAAAAAGGTTTATACAAGCCTTGTTAATAAAACAAATTCCCCTGGCTGTATATTGCTGTCAATCAATTGCGTGAACAATGCGAGATTTAGTTGCATTTAGTTGTGAGGGTTTTTCTTCGACTATTTCTTCCCTTCGAAATCTTCAATATGCACTAACAACTTTTACATGCGCTAACAGCTTTTAAGATCTGGTTCATAGTTTTAAATATAGGCTACCATAGTTGGACGTGCGATAGATCCGGTCAGATTTAAAGATAAACTGGTTCCGTCATAATTCTGTTATAGAACAATGCTAAAGGTGGTTATAACGTTGGAGAACTGCCTTATCATAACGGCGCTCACCAGCAAGATCTCCAATATTCCATGGTAAGATTGTATATATCGTATACCGATATGATAAACACATATTCAGTTTGCTTTTTCACCTTTTTGCAGAAATATTTTATGAGCGGCAGCAAGTTTATCTCGTCTCCTAAAAAAGCTGGTAAATCTCACCTAGTCATCGAATGGACAAGCCAACATGGTTGTGGTCATGGAGACCTCGATTGTAACGTTGTGTTGCAGTATATGTGTCAGAACGATCAGTTCGAAAGCTTCGATAGGCGTAAAGCCAGCATTGACACGATTCGCAATGGTATGTTAGTCGTTAGATTTCCGTTTAAAAAATCATCGATAACTATAGTGAGGAACTTAATTTTCATCCATCTATCTATTGAAACACTCAAGTTTTCGTCTGCATTGTTTTTTTCTGCAGAGTTAAAAAAGCAAAGGGTGTCGAGAGAAGCTCGAATATATATAATACTTTAACAAAACTCTCGGCATGAAAAAATTTGAAACTTAATTCTTACGCATATTTGTGGCATCACGAACCGAAAAACAAAGCGCTGATACTTTCTGTTTTACCGGCTTTTTAATTTGCCGCTGTTGAGGGCAAAGAAGTAGCTAATAAGTGCTTGAACAGTATCCGATCATTTTTTTCTTAAACGAAGTGCATGCACGACACTTTTGGCCTGCTTGAAAATATCACAAGAGCTGCGCAATTTACTAGTATATTTTAGGTAAAGGCAATTTTAAATTAGATATTAATTTTGTTTCTGCCATTGGAACATAAAACATATCTTATCTATCGAGTAACCGTGTAATTTTTGTTTATTATATCAACTAAATTCAGGGTGACAAAAAAAACGCAGGAAGACGACGTGGAAGTGAATATCTCTTTAAATTATAGCCTAAACATTAAAGTAGAATCGAAATTTTATTTATCTGAAGGAAATTAAAGAAATTGGCAATGAAAATTGTGGTAAAGCTTTGCGTGACATACTTCATGTATCGAAAATACACGAGCCTTGTCACGAATGTAGTAAGGTCTTTCATATGAGTTATAAGAATGTTTTAGTTTTAAATATAATACTATTATCGTGTTCTCATGCATTTACAGGTAAAACTGAGGGAACGATACCCTATAGAGCACATTCAGATGGATTTTTGGGGAACCCGGAAAATAAAAAGAATGTGAAAAAACAGGCTTCCAGACTCGAGTTTGGAATGCATGAACCCTGGGAATGGTACGATAAATGTTATCGAAGGCCACGGAATAAAGGTAAGCTCATTTCTCTGAACCTCGCATTTTATACAAGTTCGTTTCTTGCAATTGTTCCGTAAGAAAAGGTATAGCTATAGATATATTAGAGAATGATCAATTTAATCTGGTCGATCTAATCTGATTAATCTGATCTGATTAGCTTAATCTGAACTATATATACTCGTGATGTAAAGTAAGTTGGTTAATATCAGGTGACGGGTACGATCACGAAAGACCACCATAGTGGGTACTGAACCAGTTTCGATCTTTGGAAACAGCCTCTGAACAAGCATGCAGCCAGCATTTAAACATTCCTATGCTTTGAAATAACCAGTTAATTAATTAACTGACTCCACGAATTAATTCACGATTTCACTGATGATTTAAAATTTAGTTTGTTTATCATTTAACTGCTCCACGCTTCTGCTGTATATAGTTAGGTATAGCGAGTGTTTTAAAACTCCTTATTTTTAACAAACGGACACCTCCATCCATTTTTTAGAATTGATGTATACCCATGCAATGCTACTGTAAATTTAAGCCCGGTTGTATAAAAGACTAGTTAACTTTAAACTGTATAGTTAAGGACAGAATTGGCAAATCAGAGTTGCGTGTATTTCAGAGTTAACTAGGATTTAACTATGCAAAATGTCGTTAAAGAGTTTTATACAACCGACCCCAGCACCATGATATTACTGCCAAGTAAAATGAACTGATATGAGATCTTCTCTTTGTCTGAACAGGTTTGTTTACAGCAGATCAAAATGTAAAAGACGACCAAGGAAGTACAGCGACTAGACAAGATCCGAACGGTGGTAACGCCGGCCGTAATGGCTACGAATGTCCAGAAGAACGCGATTATTTTCCCTACTGGCATCCGAGCGATTGGAAAGATATAGCTGTTTATGTTACCAACAAAGAGCATTGTGATTTTTACAAGCATTTTAGTTTTAATCGACACCCAAAAGGTACAAGGCACGACTAGGCATATAGTAAAGGTCGAATAACTTTGCCTTTTTGGATTGAAGCAGGCTTCCACGCTTATATTTTGCCGAGCTCAAGTATAGAGAAAACTTTTTCTCGTTAAGGCCAAGGCAAAGTTGGTTAGTTTATTATGATTTGTATCGTTTAATGGTGTATATTTTCCACAGGAGAATGTCTGGAGAAGTATAACGGCGGCGAAAAGTTCAAACATTATTCAAGATACAATAATCCCACTGACTGCAAAGCAAATGGAAAAGATTGGATCGTTTTCCGCAGTTTCATTGATATAAAAGACGAATACAAAAATAAGGCGAGTTGTGAGCAAGCGACGACTAAAGATGTCCCGCTTGTTTGGGGCGTTCCGTACAAATCCGAACTCGTAGATAGTCTTGAATTAGACCCAGTTACCAAAAAACCCAAAGAGTTCTGTCTGGTTCAACCACCTGAGCTTGACTGTAAAGTGTCCCCTGTCTCGCGTCCAAATCACCTTGGCAACGTCGTGGATTCGTACGCCATGAACTACACTTGGATTATTCCGTATTTTCCTTCACAAAACCAGAAACGTTGTGTAGTCCGAATAAGATACAACATCTCCACGTATGATTACGATGGGAATAAAACCTTCAGCGATAAAAATGGGGCCCAAAAGTAAGTGAAAAACTGAAGATATCTTATTTACAACCGTCATATACCATTCTGTCGAACTTATATAAAGTAGATTACTTAAAGCACTCTTTCTATTTCATTCCAACAGTTCACCTGTGACAAATGACCCTAAGGTCGCGTTCAAAAATGATTTGGGAAATGACTTCGACTTGCAGTTGGCAGTCAATACCGCTCAATTCGGCAGAACTTTTCAAGACAGAAGCCATGTTATGATATTGATGGCACGAACAAACAAGATATCGGACGATGTCGCAGTGTATAATCTTAATGTCCGTGGCAAACGAGGAAATATCGTTCAGGTTTACCCTGCTGTGGAGTATGATTTTGTTCCGAAGTCTCTTTACGTCACCAGTGACGATATAGTTCACATTCAATGGACAGGTAAAATACATCACCATGCATTGACAAGCCTGTGTGGATTTCGAAGCAAATTTCTTTAAATTTATATGCATTTAAACCTCTTGTATTCACACTATCTCTGTTATTATTGTCATACACATAATAGCTTTATCGTATAGACATGAAAACTGGTTCGACATTGTAAATTTTCAGACATATACTCGCATCTCAAAGTGGGTAGTATTTAGTATTGCTAACTATTATTCAGGCAAGCAATAGAGTTTTCATCTTATGCTCAAAATTCAAGATTTCTTATCACTCTTAAATATTTTGATGGTTTCTTTAAGGCTCAACACGAAATCCTGGGAATAATGACGGTGAAGGAAGAGCGGGTAAGGATCGTGAATGACAACAAAAATAAATGTAACGATAAGAATGCAAAATACCAAACTAAAATACATTTTCTATCAGGTACTGATAAGAATAACATGGTCGAAATTGATGATTCGGGAACGAATGTGAAATTTAAGGAAAACAGCCAAATGATTCGCGGTGCAACGTTGAAATGGACGCCGGACATTCAACTGAAAACTATGGAAGACGTCGCTGTGGCTCTCGCAACGTCGGGATTTGATTTCACTGGAGGAAAAAATAATAGATTAGGTGAGAGTGTACTAGTAGTGAGTTTACTGGACCGAAATACAGTATACTGATAATATACTATACTCTACTGTACCGCACAAGTACTTTATTGTACTTCGATGTACTCTACTGTACTCTACTGTACCGCACAAGTACTTTATTGTACTGCGATGTACTCTACCATACTCTAATGCACCGCACAGGTATCTCACTTTATTGTGCTGCACTTTACTGTACACCAATGTACAGCAGTGTACTAAACTGTATTGTACTGGATTGTACTGCGCTGTACTACACTGTACTATACTGTACTGCACTTGTGCCTCCTACGCCACCATGTTTCAAATTAGAATTTAACTAAAAGTCATTTCTTTAAGGTGTATCCGAGAACCGAAGATTAAACTTTCAAAATCAACTTGATAACTCGCCCGCTTCCTTCGGGACTGCCCTATCCTTCGCGCCAGGCTCCTATAAATACATGTGCACGAGGAATAACAACTTCAGCAATCGTAATCAAAAAGGAACGATCATAGTCACGGCCGGTACGAACAAACCTTCGCCTGGTAACAATGTTTTAGGTGGGGTGAGGGCGCCTCCTGGTTCCAATTCTGTTGTGACCTCTCGCCCTGCGGTAACAACACCCGCCCCTACAACCCACTCCACCACAACCCCGGCACCCCCCAGAAGACGCCGTTCTCGACGTCGTCGCATTAGACGTCGTCGTGTAAGACGTCGTCGCGTAAGACGCCGCCGTCGTTCACGTGGTTAAATCGATTCCAAAAGTGGTTAAAGTGTTATTTCTGCCATTTTACTATATCAAACATATTTTTCACATTCTACAACACGTGCCGGTGACTTAGCCTTCAAATAATACGTTTCACAGTACCTGAAACAAATTCAAATATTCCTATTCTAAATTCAAACAGAACCATGCACTCATTTTTAGTTATCGTTCCCTCGTGCTTATGTCCCCAACGAAAGAATTTTATCAATTCAAACTGCGCGGAATTGTAGAGTATATCCTAAGGTTTTTTGGCGAGAAAAAGCTTCTCTTTCAGTAACTTTTTTTGGCCAAAAAAAGCCCCTCCTTCTGTAACTTTTTTTCTGTTTCTCTAAATTCGCTTCGCTAAGTCCTAGCACATTCTCACCTAGTATGCAATTGCACTTTTATGTATGGCATTAATGTACTGGAATGGCACACGTTTAGCTGCTATATTAGTAATTCACAAAAACGAAATATATCACGTTTTAAATAAAGTTGTTTTTTACAAACGTGTGTGATTTCATGTCTTCGCTTTGAACTAAATCTTTAGCGATTTAAGATCGCGTCGCTTGAATCGCTTGAAGTCGATATATTGTGGTTTGCACCTTTAAACGCATATGAAAAATTAACCGTCGAAAATTATTAGAATGCCCTGTCGCTCTTACTATAAAAGTAAAAACATGAAAAGAAAGCTTAAAAAGGTCTATAGGTATATGGATTACATTGACTTTTAAATGTGATCTCTCAAGTTCACAAGCAGACATGTTGTTCTAATCTGAAGGAAGCGTCTCTAAATTCCGTGCTTTCCTCTAATGAAGGCACCTTTGAGAAGAAATACAGACACATTTCAAATTGCAATCTGACCGCACGTCTCATAATTGAAATCCCTCCACATCTTTTGGTTCTTTAACTCAGGCGTGTCTCATAAACAAACCTTTCTGATACAAACGTAGCGAAGGCACCAACACAAGCATCTCTTTAATACAGGAACATCTCTAACACACATCTACCTGCGATATTCATAATACAAACCCCTCTCTAACACACATCTACCTGCGATATTCATAATACAAACCCCTCTCTAACACACATCTACCTGCGATATCCATAATTCAAACCCCTCTCTCTGATACACATCTACCTGCGATATCCGAAAATCAACCCCTTTCTCTAATACACAACTACCTACGATATCCATATTTCAAATCCCTTTCTAATACACACACCTCTCGCAACAAACAACTCGCGTATTCAAAAGCCTTAGCACAGATCAACCTCGTACTCAGAATTGTTTCTGAAAATCCTGGGTACGATGTTGAGCACACAGACTTAATAACAGCACACCTGTTATATTACACTGATAAATTTCGCTCTTAGAATCACTCCCTAAACAATGGCTCATCCACAGGTATCGCTACCGGTGAGAAATTGATCGATGGCATTCTTCCAATCAACATTCCATATACATTGCCTTTACCCATTTCAAGTCTTCTCATAAAAATATTTCCCCCCCCCCCCGGTAAATTTCTGCGTGGAATAAGGCCGGCAATGTCCTGCTGTGCTGTCGCATTTGAGGGTAAACGGTACTGTGTTTATAGTACAACCCACCGATGTCTAGAATTTTTTGGGGGGGTTGAATAATTTACCCTCGCAACGTGGTTTTTAAAAAAAAAGTCAACGTTGACCTTTGTTTGAGATAAGCAGACAAGTCGGCTAATTTAGCTGTAGCTAATTGCTTTCTAGATCACCATTAAACTATTTTTAACGATTAAATGAGCTTTAGAAGTAAACCACTCAGATTAATTACATGAACACCACGAATTCTAAACTTTTTTAGGGCTTTCAAACCCACGCCAGGGTCGAGTTTTTGCCGCGAAACAAACATGATTACAGTTTGTTATTGTTGCATTATCGCGTGACAGCGTGTAGGAACAATGGTTCAAAACAATGATCCATCTTCTTTTGAAAATGGCCCTTGATTTTTTTAAAACCGTCAGTCACCCACACGTCTTTTGCAAAAAAAGCACGTATATATGCTGCATCTTTTCATACATTCTGCATCAAATTTCACAAAATACTTCACGGCAACTCGCTGTTAACAAGCAGTTAACTGCATGGGATTAACTGGTTTGAGCAATATTTCCTGTATATTACAGGTTCTCGCTACAGCTGACTGGGCGAATGAGTATTTGCGAATTAGTTGCCAAAGAAATCGATTGCTTCGGGAATGCTTTTGTCATTGAGACAATGAGAGTGATTCCTTTGATGAAAATATGCAGCGTAGGCCGGGATCAATTGTCCGATAAAATCAAAGTCCTAATCTCATTTAGATAGCGACGCTTTTTGAATTATAAAAACAGAATTGTTGATAACATCATCGAAACCATTTCTTTGTTTCACAATAAAGAAAATGTAGGATTTAAATGAATGATTCTAGAATTTATCATTTAAGTGCTTGGTAAATTTACGATTTTCTGAACAAAGTCCACATTTTTTGTCTTAAAGAATGAAGAGATTAAAATCATATATTTATCACTCTCAATCTGTTGGCAAAAGTTAAGCAATCATTAAGTTTCATATCACGAATTTCTTAATATCTTATTCTAATCCAATTTTTACTAGTAAACAAGTATATTCGTGCCCAGATGTTCAATCCAATGACCTTGCATGATTATGTAACGCGTAGGAGCTGCTTTGAATACTATTAATGCACGGCTAAGTCATAAAACAGCCTAAAATATTGGCATCAGTTTTCGACTAATACTGCATCCATGTTTTCGTTCTTCGCCTATCAAAATAAACGATTGAAAGGAATATGACTATATATGTGCTTTAAGGCATCTGCAATCCATGACATTTGAAGAGCAAAAAATGGAGGCGTTTATATTGTTTCATAGCCAATTCAATTTCACATGCAGATTACGTCCTGCTGTTAGGCTGGTTGTTCTTTATTTACACTCTGCGCGGCCCATACTGAGGATTGTAAGAGAACCGATATTGACAGGGCTTGCATTGGGGCAAAAGCTCGTAACCAAGATGAGGTTGTTTGAAGTCCTTGCTTTTCTTTCAATTTTGGCCTCATTGAATCCAGTCTGTTGTGATATCTATATGCACAATCCTAGAGGATCAAATAATCGCTTGAGATCAGCAGGCGTGAACCGACAAAACAACAATCGAATGTTTGATTCTCAGGTGAGTATATCGCTGGAAAAAATGACGAATAATTTAAAAGTAGCTGTTTAATCGTTTGGAATATATCTGGAGAAAAACCCTACTAAATCGGATACCAATTACATACACGCATTCGCGTGCTGGTCCAGAGTGCACGCATGTTTACCATGTACTGATTAAAACAACGATAAAGTAAAAACGTTTATTAGTTTGACTGTTTTTATATGTTAATTTGTGCCTGTGATATTTAAGCCCCGACGAATTTTCTTGACCAGTTCACTTGCTCGTGTGTATGACGAACAAGTTTTTCTTGACAAGTTTTCCTTCCCAAGTTTTATTTTCCCATGCATGTGTGCGAAAAATTCGGACAAATTTTTTTGACAAGTTTTACGATAATGTATCTATGTCGAGTATATTTTACGACAGTATGATAAAATGAGTATACGACCGAACCTCAAAACAAACAAAAATGATAAAACTTCCAAAAACCGCTAAATTGTCTCAAGATATTGTTGCGCGGTTCCCTACTGGCAGTGGAGAATTCCTTGTCAAGTTTTCCTTGACGGCCGTTGACACGAGCAATTTTCCTTGCAAATAAAACTTGGCAAGAAGAACTTGCCTGTCTGTACGGGGTTTTAGAAATCTTCCCAACCTTTAATTTACAGCAATTTTTTTAATCGCTTGTTTGGAAAATATCTTTTGCCATGAATATTTTCTCAACCTCACACTAGTGGATTCAAATTTAACCGTGCAGGGTTAGCGCTAACTCAGCTTTGAAAAACTGATCCCTGAACTATTGTCACGAATCGTATATATGTATTCGTATTAATACCCACGAAGCAAATTTAGTTCCCATTAGTTGTTTGCAAGCGAAGTGTACGCACACTTCTCAAAGAACTTTAATTATATAACTAGTCTTGCTCTTATTATTCAAGAATTAAGAAATAGTAAACCTTTTTCCAGTTTCGGTTTCAGATATAGTCCCCTAAGACGATTTGTTTTTTGTTTTTTTTTTTTTTGTTTTTTTTGTTGATTACAAGCCTATATATATTACAATACACGCTTCTTTACCAATTGGTACGCGCGTACTATAAATGTTATATTGTATTTCTTCACAGAACAATGCCAAAGGTGGTTATAATGTTGGCGAAAAGGGTGCTTATCGAAATCATAACGAACATATGCAGTATCACATGGTAAATTCATCACTAACATTACTACATAATTGCATGAAATTTCGAATGAGAGTTCAAAATAGTCTACTGTCACTGCATGACCATAATCGTCATTTAAAAATGCTGTTGGGAACTCAACTGCTTAAAATAATCTTGGTAAGATCGAATATACCGTAAGTAGGTATATTTAACTTTGATAACGTCGAATATATCGGAATATGATATAGCCAACCATAGTATATGGTCTAGTATACCGGAATCTCTTATATAAGGTTTTGAATTTAGTTTTAAAGAGAGAATAGCGAACATTTACGTTCAATATAAGTTCTATATAAATTATATAGTTTAAACCGAGACACGTACGTCATTATCAATATCCTAGTCGTTATTCGGTTTCCTGTACAAGAGTCTCCATGAGTCATTTCTGTGTCAAACAAGATGAATAGATCATTTATCTCTAGTCTGCAGTATGCTTATCGAAGGAAATTTGTCTCTCGCTCTTTTCTCCTAACTTTAGAAATATTTAATGAGCGGTACAAAGGGGAAAGGTTCGACGTATTTGAACATCGAGTGGACGAACCAACACGGCTGCGGTGATGGTGACCTGAATTGTCAGATTGTTTTACAATACATGTGTCAGAAGCATAAAGATGAAGATATTGGAAAAAATCACATTCCCGAAAGAAAGAGAAACGGTAATTGTTAAAATTCACAGTGAAAAAATACCCTTATGCAGTATATATTGTGGAAAACCTTGAGCCGGCCAAGCCGAGAATATTACCTCCTGTCTATCCAACCTAAGTCATAACACAGCTCATGTTTGGTCACTCGTCAGTGACGTCCGACAATATAAGTTTATAATCATCGTGATATAATGAAAAATTAGCTTCAAAATGAACCTGAGTCTTATGGACTATTAGCTACTATCACTTAAAGACGCGCAGATATGGAAGGGACAAGTTCATTTCCGAAATATTAACTACTCGAACCGTCTTGACCTATAGTAGCTCAGTTGGAAGAGCATTGGACTCGCAAAGCAAAGATCGCTAGTTCGATTCCCATGCACCGTGGTCAAGCTAATTTTTCAGTTTACCCGGTTGGTGATTCAGAGCACTTTCGTCACAATATTTCATTTCATATACCTGAGTTTTATGCACTATTTCTAATATAGCCGTCGTGATTGTTTCATTTTAATATGTATTGATTGATAAAAAGCTTGAAACTAATAATCTTTGGATGTTCTATTGTTCTTATAGGCATTACTGAAGGTACACCAATCTATCGACGTCACAATCCATTTCAATATAAATGGCAGAAAGATAGAGAAGAACGGATTCATTCACAGCACAGTAATTATGGACTTAACGAGCCTTGGAATTGGTATGACAAATGCAAAAAAAGATCTCGCAATCGTGGTAGGTATTTTATAACTTTCTAGCTCTTTTACAAGTCTAGGTCGGTGTTTTTACGCAGTTACATGAACTGTGCTTTTGAAACACCTCATGGCTTTTTTATAATGACTGACCTTCTGGATTTTTTTTACCGCTTTCCCGATAACTTGCCCGCATCCATTTTCCAAACTGCAAATGCCTGAATCCTGAATCAATCGGGCGCTAAACTCAAGAGCACACCGTGATTATTAGAATAAATTATTCCCTAAAACAAACGCCGCCCTTGAATAAACGCCTTACTCAAATACTCGCGGTACCCAAATAAACACCGGCGCTTATTCGAAACATTTATTTATTACCACCGTTTGCAATCCAAGTAGCAATTTTAAAGAGAAGGCTGCTATAGCCCTCCAGAGTTGTAAATGGGGGATTCTTAGCCTCTCGTGAGGATTTTTTATACAAACAAATAACAAATAGATCATTGGCTAAGTACTTTACTAGCAATATAGCAGAGGTGAATCCACTAGTCCACTAATTTGCATTACAAAACAAAGTGGTTATTTTAGCAGTTTTCTTGTGTCATGCAAACTAGTGCACTATAGTGCTGGTCAACCCCTGGCACACAGTAACGTTTTGAAGCGTTTTCATTTTCGTTTTCATTCCCAAACGGTTTCAAACACTGTTAATTTAAAATATAACTTAAAGCTAATCTAACATATTGAACATATTTCTCTTGGATTGTGTGTCCAAAGCGTCAAAACCGATGAACTAGGCAAAAACGATTTTGAAAACGCTCGGATATTTGTTTTTCGTGCGACAAACCAGGAACATAGACCTTATGAACAACATTCATCGAAGCAGTTGACTGTGAATTGTCAATTTTCTCTTTACCGCTGTCAAAACCTACAACGCAAACATACCAGCATATATTTGTTTTTCAAGATCCAAGCAATAACTGATTTGGGATGTTTCTCTTGTTTGTGCAGGTTTGTTTACAGCAGATCAAAATGTTAAAGATAACATAGGAAGTACGTCGACAAGGCAAAATCCGAACGGGAACCGAAATGGCTACGAGTGTCCCGAAGAACGAGATTATTACCCATACTGGCATCCCACTGACTGGGTTGATATCGCAGTATTAGTGGACAAAAAATCTGACTGTCCATACTACCAGAGAGAAAGTTTCAATGTTAAAGAAAAAGGTGAGTGCACGGGTCATGGTTGGGATGTAGTCCGTCAGCAGGAACGTACCTTGGTTCTCATTACAGCGAGTGCTAAGAAAAACTCTCATAGTGGAAGATTTCAATTCCAAATATTTTTCCGACAATAAACCGAACTTCTTATCAAAGAATTTTATCATATTATACAAATTTCGTTGATAGCATTTACTCAAAGCAAATTCGTAAACTATGCACACTAAGGTGCCGGAATCTGATTCATTATTTCGCAAAGTAAAAGACCTCACTTCCTCCCGTCCCAAAGTTCCGAAGATATACTATCGCTTGTGAGTAACCAGAGGCTCTGAAATGGCGGGAAAAGACTGGGAATTGTGAAAAAATATAATCCATTTCTTGGCTAAAACAACTCGATATATTTCTTGAAATATTTCGGTTTCAAATTTATGTCGGAGCTATATAGGTTTTAAATAACTAAAGAAAACAACAAACAACAACAACAACAACATTGTTTATAGATTGATAAAGAGTGAAAAAGAATATAAGAGATTGAAAACAGAATAGTTTCTATTTCGAGAAGCCTGATTAGTTAAAATATGAGTGCTAGATCACCTTGTGCGAAAATTATGTTTTGAACCTACGCAGGAGAATGCATGGAGAGGTATGAAAAAGACCGTGGAAATTACAAACACGATTCGAAGCACAATAACAGGCAGGATTGCGCAAGTCATGGCGGGCTTTGGGTGAACTTTCACAACTATTTGGAGAAGATGACGCAATACACAGACGAAGGCAGTTGTTCCCGAGCAGGTTATAAGTGGGGCTATGGTTATCGCTCGGAGGACTTTGAAGATATGAGGAAGTTTTGTTTTGTCCCACTTGAAAAGCCCGAATGTGAGTTGGCTCCATATTCCCGTTCTAATCACCTTGGAAACGGTGCTGGTATCACGCCATTGACCTACAAGTGGAAATTACCAAACTTTCCATCGAAAGAAGAGCAAAGATGCTTTCTTCGTATCAGGTTTGGTCACCTTATTTTGTGCGGTGTTATCCATTTTGAACTCAAAGTTTATGGGAGTACGTATAAGAGTCTGTAAGAGTTGATGAGAGATGATGAGATTCGATGAGAGATGATGAGAGGTGATGAGAGATGATGAGAGATGATGAGAGATGATGAGAGATGATGAGAGTTGATAAAAGATGATGAGAGTTGATGAGAGATGATGAGAGATGATGAGATTTGATGAGAGATGATGAGATTTGATGAGAGATGATGAGAGATGATGAGAGATGATGAGAGATGATGAGAGTTGATGAGAGATGATGAGATTTGATGAGAGATGATGAGAGATGATGAGAGATGATGAGAGATGATGAGAATTGATGAGAGTTGACGAGAGTTGACGAGTGTTGATAAGAATTAACGATCTTGATTGAAATGAGTTAAACGTCCAGATGTGTGTGTGTTCTCCATCGTTTAAAAAAATACACTCTTATTTATATTCTATTAAGGGAGTTTACAGTCTCTGCAACTGAGATATAAATAAATAATTTTCTCTGTGTATATTTTAGGTACAACATCTCGACGAACGATCCTCTGTAAGTAGATTAGATAATATATTATAATTGGGCTAAGGTGTCACTCCCGTTGAGTAAAAAAGGTGTTTATTGTCGTGCCACTTAATAGACTTCTTGCAACTTTCCCCACGGTAAAAAAATAGCTTGAAAACTCTCAAAGTTTGTCGAAACAACATTGGTTACCTGAACTCTGCATCTTAACTAAAACAAAGACGTGTCATAAACTATTTCTTGGTCCATTTTCCCGGAGAAAATACAAAAGACATTGTTAATGTTCAGTAGGAATATGGCTAATTCTTTGCTTAAGTTAAACGTTTCTCTTTAACATTTTAGCAATAAAATAACGCAAAACCCAACTGTGGAATTTTTAAACAAGCTCCCATTGCGGTTGGCAATAAACACAGCACAATTCGGGCGAACATTTCAAGATCGGTCACATATGTTCTTATTGACGTCACGTGATAAGAACGGCGTATCAAATGATGTCAACATTCATAATGTTAACATTCGTGGGAAAAGAGGAAATATCGTTCAAACTTACCCAGCCGTTGAGTATGATTTTGTCCCAAAGAGATTGACGGTACCAACAAACGATGCCATTCACGTCCAGTGGACAGGTAACAAAATGCAGTTCTGGGGATAGTTCTGATGACGATGACGATGACGATGATGATGATTCTATTATTTAGGTTCCAACAGCAATCCGGGCGGCAATGACGGACAAGGAAAAGCAGGTATATATCGATAAATTAAAATCACAAAATCTTTATATTTAGCACGTTCTTTAGATTTATACACAAAATGATTTCTACCATGTAATTCACCGTGTCTTCAAATTTTTTTCACTTCCAGGAACAGACAAAAATAATCTCGTGGAAATGTACTACGCACCCTATAGTGTCCCAATCAGTTCGCGCATGCTCCAAAGCGCAAATATCCTTCACAATTTCGTTGGGGGATCCAAAAAGTTCGTAGACGTCGAAGCAAGTCTAGCCTCAGCTGGTTACTACAAAACTTCGAAAAATGCTGTCGATAAGGCTCCGCGTCAGTTAGATGACGAGTTGAACAACGCCAGTCCATCGTTCGCTGGTATTTTAATGAGTTGGAACAGTCCAAACATCTTTTATTACATGTGCTCTCGAAACAACAACTTCACTAATCGCAGTCAGAAAGGTCGTTTGATTATCAGCAAGAATGAGAGCGGTTAAAACTGACTGAATGCACCTTCTTTATCTATTATAGATCAGTTAAGATTATCTGAAGTCCAAAATTCCAAAAGTCCAGATTGTAAAACCCATATAATCTTTTTATAAACACGCTCCGAGTATATTTTTCTGAGTTTTTTAGGCCTAAAACTGCTTTCTTTTTCAACAGACATTGATTCAAAACACTGTATCGCCGAGTAATTTTTCTAAAATAATTTATCACGATCATAACATTTGCAGTTCTAAAAACTGCAAATCGTGTTGCCTTCAAGATGTTTAGTTCTTCCGAGTAATATTTTTACAGATACAAGATAAAACATAATATTGACGGCGAGGTTTTCTGACATTTTCTGCAATTTTGGCTTCTGAGTTTCAGACTTCCAGATTAAACGAATAGTATAGTCTAATTCTCTTATGCACCACGCTATTGCTGTTTTTTAACATATATATTCTCGATGATGTAGCTAACTATTGATGCATAAATGTTCAATTATACTGCAATATATTTTCAACAATTGTTTCCTACTATTAAATTAATATAGCTACCCGGATAGGCTCGACCCTTGAGAACCGAATAAATCCCTCGTACATAACGTGCTGCGGCTCGGAATCGCCGTATATTTTCTGCTCATATCGCATTGCGGGCTCTTTAAAATAAATATGGCGGGTGTTTCAAATGTGTTCAGAATTCTATAGTGCTTGGAGTGCTAAAACTTTGACATGATTTTTCATCTATTCAACCGTCCTATGGACGAATATCACACTTTAAATAAAAGCATCTCTAAAACACCTTACCATTGTATAGATATTATTCATTGAAATACCGCTAACTATTAAATGGTAGCCACTATATACCATAGATTAGCAATATTGCTTGGTATATACCATTTGTGGTATTGCAAAATGTTTGGACAATCTGCCTCGTAAAGTGTGGTCGATCATTACGCGATGGTGTGGAATCCTTTTGATCGTTTTAGGCTGGGGCATATTACATTATTAAAGGTAAGCGATATTTAAAATTCTGATTCTAGCATGCAATGATTCCAAACGGCATTCATGCATCTTGTAACTTATATTGTTTGTGGTAGTAATTGGTCTGGAAGGACTAAAAGGTGGATAGTCTTTGGAATAAATTGTTGAGGATCATATCATAACGGGGTAGTTCTAGGGCAGCTGTGACAAAGCACCTCAACGCATGCACCACCCCTTCACTTAACGATTGCATTAAAAACTTACCGGTTAAACGGCTAGTTGTATTAAGGGCGGAAGCTTTGTCTGCGATGAAAACAGCTTCATTAAATATGAAAATTTCACACCCTCTTTTCATAACAAGATTAATATATTGTAGAAAGAAATCCATAATAACGAGGTAAAAAAATGATAAACAAGACGGTCAAAAGCCACATTACAATTCGCCGCTTTTAATGTGTTTGATCAGGCGCTTTTGCTAATATCGTTTTGACAAAAGGCTCGATAATTTAATTAGATTTATTAACAGATATATTTGTGTATGATTTCGCAATTCCTATGTTTTTTTATTAATATCAAAAGCTGAACAAGTATTGAAGGAAATTAGAATCATCTTCGGTGTCAGTGTAATAATATTTTAATTATAAGATGAAAAATCCGAAACAATAGGTCAAGCGGCACATTTTGTATGACCAGTTGCTGTCATTTATATAAATTATGTCCACAAAAGAATCGATGATTTAATAAGTATGGACAGGTATGATGACGTATTGTCAAAAAGATCTAGCTTTATTGAGCCAGCTTTAATTAACGAGCTAGCTTTATTGGCGTATCCAAAACATCGATAGTTAAAACTTCGTCTCAGTTCCAGACGATTGTGTATTTTTGAAGCTCGATAGCTGCGCGTTGCTAGCCCTATCTCTAAATGTAAAGCAGATTTATCAAAGAATTGCAATGCAATCCATCGAATTGAATTGAAAATTAAATTGAATTGATTTGAATTGAAAATTAAATTCAATTGAATGGAATTGAACTGAATTGAGTTGAATTAAATTGAATTGAGTTTTAAAAATTGAATTGAACTGAATTGAATTGAATTGAATAGCCAGACTTTTTTACCCCGCTCCTGACGTCCCTAGCTGCAAAAAATATATCTGCCTCCCTTCCTTTGTCGCGGCGCTTTCGCGAATCACGACTGAGTCGAAAATTAAACAGCCGACAATCAATTTTTGCTTGTACGAATATATTTCAACCATTGCAAGATTACGCGTAAATATAGTCTCAATGCTACTATACACAACATTACAGTGAACATTATCAAAAAGTATATTGTTAAGTTAACTTGTAGTACTAAACTTGATATAAATTTCGACCATACAGACCAAATTTACCTAAAGTTTTATTGTTATTACATTGCGTTTATTTGTGCAGAAATATGTTCTTACTGACGGCCGGTTTTCATTGATTCGTAATTGTCGTGGACATGTCAAGGTGGTTAATGCATTGAAATATTTCTATATGTGTTTGCAGTTAAAAATGACAATTTAAATACAAAGAATAAAGAGAGATTTAGAATTGGACTATTTCGCATTGGTAAAGATGGCTTGTTTACGACAATTACGATTAAATGAACGCGTTGGTTTGTGAGAGACTAAAGAACAAATATGGCTATATGCCGGTCTTTGAAAAACGTATTTAGGTATTCACTACATCGCGTGCAAGATTAAATTTTATAAGTCAAGTGAATTTCAATACATCCTCTTGGAGCTATTTCAAGCCACGATGAGACGAGCTTTCTGGCTACGGTTTGAAAAATTATTATTTCGGGTGCACATGAAATAGTATGTTCCTCTGCTAAGTTGAAGGAGAGGAGCACTAAAAGATGGCGGGTAATAATCAAGTTCCGCATAAGCTTTAAGCTTAGTTTTGTGGTTTCGTTGAAAATTGAAAACAGACATTACACTCTCTGTCTTGAAGCGACCGGCGGTCGCAAGCAACACTGCGAGGTCCTTGCTTGTTGTTGTTGTCGATTCGGGATCCACCTTATGAACAATTTTTGCATTCTGAATCATGCTACCTAATTCGGTCGATGGATAGCTAATATCCGTCGACGCCATCTGGACGATGTTGTGACGATCTGTGCCTGGATTTGAAATATAAGGAGATCAGTGCAAATTCTCAGCAAATTTTTTATAGAGCCAAAGGATGTGAAAATGGCAAAAAAGTGCACAAGATTTTGTAAACGTTTGCAAGACAGCTAAACTTCGCAATTTTAGTTATTTTACGATTTTTTTAATATGGCGTTTGAAACTTTGGTGTTGGGTTTAATGAATTAATTCCTCCTTGATTCGATCAAATAAGTTGGTGTAAATAATCCATTTATTATATTTCGCTTTGTCACTCACCTGCCCTTCCCTGACCATCATTGCCATTTGGGTTTGTGTTCGCACCTGTTTGAAGTCAAAAGATTACATTGTGATGTGTGAGATTATATTGTAGTTCCTCTTCCCCATTCCTACAAGTCTGACCTCCCCCCCTCCATGTCAATAAAAAAGGCACTTGGCAATGATTGAGTGGCATTGTGCCGAATGATATAAGGACAGTCCATCCAAAAACTGCTTATCAAACCACTCATTCCAATCAAAGTTTTAAGTGGGTCTCCTCCCACTTTCCGATGGTAAATCCTGGGCCCTGATGCGAAACAGTGAATATACTTTTAAAACATATATCAATCTTACCCGTCCACTGAAAGTGCACCAAATGGTCAGATTTAACTCTCGCACGTTTCGGGACAAAGTCGTATTCGACTCCTGGGTAAACCTGCACGATATTACCGCGTTTTCCTCGCACATTAATGTTATGTATGATTTTGTCGTCCAGGCCCGTGGGTCGTGCTTGCAGCAAGAAGGTGTGCGAACGATCTTGGAATGTTCGGCCGAATTGTGCCGTATTGACCGCCAGTTGAAGATCGATTCTACTTTGACCAAATTGCTCTATGGGATTGTTGGTGATCGGGGATTGATTGATTATTATGTTCGAACCACTAAAAATAAAGACAGTCATTCTTTATCAGTGTTTATAACCCGACATAATTGATGTTACCCATAATCATAATCAATAAAATTTGTCTTCTTACGGTGAAAAACTTCGGCCTCTACGACTGAAAAGCTCATTGGGTCCTTAAGGAATGATTTTTAAGGCCAAATTTGAACATTAAGGCCTGATCCTTACAGACATTTTTTCCCAGCGAAATGCATAATTTTTCGTCCCGTGGAATCAGGACGATACTTTTAATAAAATGAGATGGTGCTCTCTGCAGTGTGCAGTGCTCATAACGTTTTACTCCTTTGGACGAATATGGCGATGTTTCACAGCTGGGATTTCTGGTAAACTACAATAAGGGTCAAGCCATGCGCTTTACAACGGACAGGACTTACCCTTTGCGTTCATTTCTTTCGGCGAATGTGGTCGAAACGTTGTAATCGTCAGTGGAAATATTATACCTGGAGCGATTAAAATATTCCGAGTTCTCAAGTGTTCAATTCAGTATCTAGGCTGACTGAGTCTTTACTTGGCTGGTCTGGCACTGACTTACTGCTTTATAATGTTCTATTCAGTGTTTCACTTTCAACCTTCCGGCCTCAATGTCAGTTGATCATTGCTAGTCTGACTGATTGCTGACTGTTGCTACTAATACTAGCCTGACTAGTCTAGTACTTACTGCTTTGCAATGTTTTATTCAGTGTTTCACTCTCAACCTTCCTCAATGTCAGTTGATCATTCCAGTACTGCTAGTCTGACTGATTGTTGACTGTTGCTACTAATACTAGCCTGACTAGTCTAGTACTTACTGCTTTGCAATGTTTTATTCAGTGTTTCACTTTCATTCCTCCTCAATGTCAGTTGATCATTGCAGTACTGCTAGTCTGACTGAGTGCTGACTGCTGCTACTAATACTAGCCTGGCTAGTCTAGTACTTACTGCTTTGCAATGTTTTATTCAGTGTTTCACTTTTAACCCTCCTCAATGTCAGTTGATCATTGCAGTACTGCTAGTCTGACTGAGTGCTGACTGTTGCTGCTAATACTACCCTGGCTAGTCTAGTACTTTGCGCTTGATAACATTTTACTCAGTATCTGTCAACCTTCCTCAACGCCAGTCGACCATCGCAGTACTATTAGTCTGGCAGAGCGCCGACTGTCGCTATTTTGAAATCATTAGGTGCAAACCTTAAGCGGAAGACACATCTTTGAGTCTCGCCACTTGGAAAATACGGCAAAATCCACTGGTGTCTCATGGCAATGACGTTTTCCCCATTGCCAAGGTGATTCGGTCGTGAGGTAGGTGCGACTGAGCATTTGACTTTGGGTGGAAGGACTAAACACATCACTTTATGTTTTATATCGCCCGGAAAGTAAGGAATTGCCCATCGAGTACGAATATTTGGGTTGCCACGGTCATAAGATTTGCATTCTCCTTCCGTGTTAATATTCGGCAATATTTCCAAAAAATTACTGTACTCTAACCACTTTCCACCGCCTTGGCTACAAGCAAACGCGTTGTTGTGTTCATCGTATTTTATCCTGGAATGCGGCTTTCCTGTACATTTTCCTTAAAGGCAGATCGATGCTGTAAGTGCGTGAAAATTGAAATTCATACTCGTAACAATAATTTGGAAGAAACATTCTCAGTTTTTTTTAATCTAAAAACGAATACGGTCGAACGGTTCTGGGATTTTATTTTCTTCCCAAATTTACACAAATTTGATCAATTTCTATCTTATCATTTTCCCCTATGTGCTGGAATTTCAATTCTTTTTAGTTTGTGGCAATGAACGTTGAACAAGTTCAGATTATTTGATTTTTCTGCCGGGGGGGGGAGGGTCACAAAAATTTGGGGGGTTCGAGTTTTTCTCCTTGCACCCTCCGTCCATAAAATTTCGCGACTGAGCATACCTCGTAGCCTTTCGTTGAAGCTTTCCCTTTCGTAAAAACTGCAGTCTTCTTGTCTTTTCACATAAATAGCCTCATCCTTCCAAGGAGTCGGGTGCCAGTACGGATAGTAATCCCGTTCTTCGGGGCATTCGTAGCCTCTTCGAGTACCACCCGGATTTTGTCGTGTGTAAATACTCGTGTCTCCACGTGGGTTTTGATCCGCGAGAAACAACCCTATACGATAAAGTACACCGGAGAATGTTCCAAATCACTCTATTCACATTAGTCGGTACAAGATGAGGTTATCTAACCTAGATTGGTGTTCGAAACCTTCTTCTATTCATTTTCAACGTTGGAAGAGAGAATGTTGATGCGGAAATACACGTGCTTTGGTTTTTAATACACTTCAAAGGTGTATAGCACATATCCATGACATGGAGGACGTCCCAAAGCCCGTGCCGAAATCGTTTGCACTATTTCATAGTGCAAGTACGTATTTTAACAGCTGTGCTATACTCACCTTTGTTGCGTTGCCTTGTTTTACATTCTTTGTACCATTCGAGACGCTCATGCAACCCAAGGTGGTAGCTGGCGCCATTTTCTGACTGCGTCTGCGTGTTATAACCTTGTAAAAACACACAGAATGAAATTTAACTCATGCCAATGGTCCCAATACACCTGTGTTATGAACTAACACTCGTAGGCCTTGCTGCTGTGAATATTTAGCTTTTTGCTAATTTTTATAATTGTCCTTAACAGAAGAAAATTTTTGATTATTCATTAAAAAAAGAGCTTCACTTTCATGTATTTTCGTTGTGTTTATTATCTGTGAGGCAAACCGAACGCATAGACTGTGTGCATATACTGTATGGGCTACATTTTTATTTTGGTTGGCAGGGTCAACAAATTTTAATCATTTTTAATCAAGAACGTTTTTATATTCGGTCCGTAGCGTGTTCGCCAACCGAATTAGAGGGGGTAAACTTAAGATGAGCAGGCTAGCCCCCCCCCCAGTATTTAAATATAGTTGTATAAAGCAGTATATCTCCTAAATTTCTATTATCACACCAAAATTTAATCTATATACCACGAACCGTCTATTATAAGAAGATTTTAAATCTTATTTCTTACCATTTCTTAGTTTAAAAGCTGATGGCGTATTTTGTGGCTGACACTTGTATTGCAAAACGATGTTACAGTTGAGATCGTTATCACCACAGCCGTGTTGATTTGTCCATTCCACGGTCAGATATGATTTCCCTTCGTTGTTGCTCGACTGCCCTTTCTGTCCACTCATGAAGTATTTCTGTAGAGAGAAAAAGGTGGCAAATTCTCACACACGCTTAAACTACGGGTTCTGAAATAACTGCTTGTTGTTTGGTCGTGAAATTGTAAACAGGCAAGAACTGCATGGCAACGCATGTAAATCGCTATCTGAGCTAATTTTTCGTTATTATTTGTGGCCAAAAAAACTCTCGGATGAGTCTAACATGCGTCGATTTGGTGAAGTAATTAATACCTTAGCTCTGTGTGTTAGAAATTTAGGTGAAACCAAGCCTACAAGTCTTTTTTTGAGTTAGAATTGAGTACAAATTGCCCAAATTAATACTAACTTCGCAAAGTTTCCCCGATTTTGAGACATAATTTAACCGACTTATTGCCATTAAGGACATACCATTTCGTATTGAGTGTTACGGTCACTTTGGTATTTATTTCCAACATTGTAACCACCTCTGTTGTTATTCTGTAAAAAAACAAAGTTATAGAACTATAGCCAAGCCTGATTCACGGTTGAAAGATCTATACTTGGCAACAAAACTCAGTCTATAGTGCTACCGCAAACACGTTTTATGCCGGGGTCGATTTGATCTTCTATAGGATTTGCTGAGAATTTAACCTCATCTGCCCAGTTCGACATGTAAGAAAATATCAACTTTGAAATGATAGGCGTTGAAATTGTAAAACTTCCATGCACAAAGCCGCTTATTGTTGTCGTTCACCTTATTTAGTGCAAATATGAATTTCTCTTCACAATCTCCAAAGATAAAGACTGAAAAACGTCGTCAGGATCGACCGTTTCCTTTCGATAGATTGATTACCCAAACACTTTCAAATCAAACCATTCAGTCGTACAAACAGCAAACTCACCTGTGAATCAAAGAGTCTGTTAGCGTTGTTTCTGTTGTTATTTTGTTCGTTTAATCGGTTATTTGAACCTCTTGGGTTGTGCATATAAACATCGCCTTTCGCTAGCCAGAATAGAAACTGCAGAGAGAAAAGGACTAGGCATAAACCGCCATGTTTCTGCTCAGCAATCTTCGCCATTAACTTGCATGCGACGACCGCCGAAGATCCGAATAGATGCGAACAGATTTGCTTTTTAAATTTTGGAATTGTACAATTTTCTTCTAACTGGCTAGAGATGGCTGATATTTTGAGCAATTGTGGCAAATGAATAGTGATTTCAAAAGTTGAAACGTATGTGATACAATGACTCTATAGGAGAGATTGTTATTTGTTATACTCGCTGCTGGAATTCTGACAATTCATCAAAAGTAGCTTCATTTGAAAAGCTTCGGAGACATTGAAACTTCAATGGTTGGCACATAAACAATGGCGTGCTTAGCACGATTATTATCAACAAAGCTTCTGCCCACTCTTACAGTTTACCATGCGATGCTTGATAGAACTTGGCTCAATATGGATGTAAAAAAAGCCTGATGCAGAACAAATTTCGAATCGGTAAATTGAGGATCGTTATTGCAATGCATATAGGATTAAACTAAAGCTGACATGTGAACGATATCGTGAGCTTTAATATAATTAAACGTGGCCGTTGAAATCAGATAGCAACGCAGTCGCTACCCTAACGGCATTGAGCTTTGGGGGAGGATATGTCGCCTTACCCTGAGATCTTGAGTGGGGTTCGTCTGGGGGTTGGTTGTGTCAAAAGCGCGTGGGTGAACGTCGCATGTCTGTTCCAAGATCTAGTATCGTGATCGTTATCTAAATGGCGACAGTGTCCACAAAGCGTACTTAAACTCCACTTTAAGTGCTTTCTAAATTTATCTAATCAAATTCATAAACGCATCGTTGTACATAACGAGCAAACTGCCTTCGCGTTCCAGGTTACCCGCTGAGCTGAACGACAAAGCTGTACCTAAACAATGCAAGATTATCTCAACGATAAAGTTACGTAACTAATACTTGTGTATTTAATTGTATATGGTACAATAGCTTATACGATGTTTATACTATAACCTGCATGATTTTACAGGGGGGAGTGCGTGAATTTTGGAATCCATTCTCAAATCAATTTCTTACCGTGTATTTCTGTTAATTTTTTCCAAGCGCTCGAAACATTGCAGTTTTATTCATCTGAGACTTGTAGTATTTTCAGCCTCGTCTATATCAATAACGATTTCCAGACAACATATTTGGAATAGGTGTTTGGAATAAAGAATGATTATTGAGAGCTTTTAATTGCAATTTATCCACAGGAAACTTATTATTTATCGCTCAAAATCTGTCTCCTTGACATTCACGTCGACCCAGAAACAAGGAATTCGAAACAGGGATCGAATTAATACACCTCTTGTATCTGCTTTGAATATCTTGAACTTTATAGACAAGTTAATACGGATTAGTTCCAGTGGTTAAGTTGAATTCGTTCAGTTAAAGTTAGAAATGAGTTGCATGCAATTCTTCTTGTTTTGCATTAAACCTTTAAAGCGGAACTTATCTTGGTCTGAAATTGCTATCGTGTACAGCCGTTTAATTTTCTGATTATCTGAAATATTGACCATTGACCAAGTGCTGGTGTTCTCTACCGTGAAACAAATTAAGAAATGTTACTAGGATATAGAAATCGCTAAAAAATAGTCGCGGCACCTTGTTTGAGGATTTTTACAGCGCCTGGCAATCAAATAATCTATGAATGACATTGATTGGTTTATTAATTTAACTTTTTTGTCTAATCAAGCAAATGAATGATTTAAGCAGTTTAGGTGATTCAGCTGTTTCAGTCAGCCTAAGATTATCACACGGTTGTCGACAAGCAATCAAAGTGATTGAGATGATGGGTGGATATATTAAACGTCGAGAGTTTTCTCGATACCAAACTTGATTTGATCATCGTGCAGTTGTCATCTCTGAAGACATGAAGAGTCTTATTTTCTTGGCTTTTTTAAGTCCGTGTGTTTTTGCACAGCACGTATGCGGCGATGTTTATCTCCATACGCCACGGGGTTCCAACAACAGATTGTTAGGCGAAGGAGCCAATCGTCAAAATGCGAACAGAGTGTTCGACTCTCAGGTATTTGTTAAAAACTTTCAAATATTGCTTGCCGTGCTGTTCTGTCTTAACACGAGTTAGTCGTTTGAATTTAAACAAGTCAGCGTCGTTTTGGGGTTTTTCACTTAAAACTAAAGCCGATAATACTGATATTGTCTTGAATATGCTATAATTTGCAATAGTAATGGTGTCTATATCATCATTTGCTAAACCTTACCCAATTTTTACTTCCCGGAGATTATCGCCGCTTCTGCCCTACCAGGGATTACACCTTACAGGAGATTAGTACCTTTCAGTTCTGGGGATTTTCACCCCTTGACCTGTGCATGGCTCTACGGGATTTTCACCCCTAGGAGATTCAAGCTAGGGGAATACAAACCCATGTCTATTTTTAGATAAATTTGTATGGTCGGTTTTAGAACAATTTTGTAATCAACTATATTAATGGAGTCCTCAACCCATCAACCCAATCGCTTTCTGAATTGTATTAAACTGAATTGATAGTGCAAAAATAAATAGAATAGTTTTTAAGATGGTTAGAAAAATCTTGCACCATTATTTCCATCGGCTTACATCTTATCATGTTTGAAAAGTTCGACTTTCTTTTTAACCCAATCATTTTAAGTTCTGTATGCTTGACTTTTTAAGTAAAAGATGCATGTCATAACACACTTGTTCTGTTTATTGATGGAGATTTTTCTTCGCCAGAACAACGCTAAAGGTGGTTACAACGCTGGTGAAAAGAGCGAAAAAAAGACAACTGATTGGTATCATATGGTAGGTTGTTCAGGACGAGAAGGCCAGCTGTTCAAATGTTTATAAACGTGATTAAAAACATGTTTTCTCTCTCCCCATGCACACACAGCAATATTTCATGAGCGGCACCTCGGCTAATGCACCAACTATCCTGAATCTTGAATGGACCAATCAGCATGGCTGTGGCGACGGTGACTTGAATTGTAACATCGTCTTGCAATACATGTGTCGCCCCTCTGGACAGGAGGATAAACAAAGGGAGATGAGGAACGGTAAGAAAATACAAAATGAGACAGAGCTGGCTTTAATAATACTGAAATACAAGATGGACAGAGCTGACTTCAGTTTCCCAGTTCGTGCAATACTGAGCATGTTTTGACAAACTGGTGTGCCAGAAAACGACCAAGCTTCCTCATAAAACGACGATGATACAAGCTACTCTTTTTTACAGGAATAAAACATGCTCCGAAAAGCATAATCTTGTGAATCAAGCGAGTTATGTTTCGCGTTATTTTGATTTTATTTCAAAGTCGTTGTTTCGTTTTTGACTCGCATATTAAATGCTGTTTTTCAGAGCATGTTTTTCTTATATTTCATTAAATACCCTCATTATGATTGTTTAATTGTTGCTCTACAATCAATAATACAAACTGGCCATCTCTCTTTATTCCAGGCAAAACGGAGTCTACCCCAGCCTATAGAAAGCGCACTTTCAGAAGTTTTAGAAGAAAACTTATGGAGAGAAGGAGGCGCTCTCGCCTTGACAGAGTTTACAACGAGCAGTGGGAATGGTATGACAAGTGCAACACGAGAGAAAGAAACAAAGGTTTGGATCAATTTAGAATCAATAGAGATACATATTCAGTGTAAATCCGTTTAGTTTAAATTTCCTTCCGTAGTAACACTGGTTCAATAGGAGATGACCTTACTAGACTTCTGGGCTAGGAAGAATTGTTTAGAACTGATAGAACTATCCAGTATAAATAAAGTTAGTTTAGTTCAGGTTTCCTTCTGTAGTAACACTGGATCAATAGGAGATGATCCTTACTGGACCTCTACGAAGAACAGTTTAGAACTGATAGAGCTATCCAGAATGAAAAAAGTTAGTTTTTCTCAGGTTTCCTCCTGTAGTAACACTGGATCAATAGGAGATGATCATTACTGGACCTCTAGGAAGAACAGTTTAGAACTGATAGATGCTATCCAGAATGAATAAAGTTAGTTAGTTTTGTGTATTAACACTGGATCACAGTATATTATCTAGTGACACTTCCATGCTTTGACTTCTACATTTCACGAACTGTGATTCTTTCAACACAATCATCCGCAGGTCTGTTCACAGCTGATCAGAACCTAAAAGGCAACACAGCAAAGTACACGCGACAAAACGCTAATGGAAATCGTCATGGTTACGAGTGTCCTGAGGAAAGAGATTATTATCCCTACTGGCATCCGACTGACTGGATTGATATCGCAGTCTTGGGAGACGGAGCAGATTGTGACTTTTACAAGTCACAGAGCTTCAACACCAAACCTAAGGGTACTCCAAATTTCTCTAATTTCTCATCATTTTGGAACAAACTCCACTCCGGCTTCCAGTTCACAAAAGCTTGTTGGAATCATGACTGTTTTCAGTTGAATTTCAATAGAACGTTCTGCAATGTTATTATTACGCCTTTACTCGTGATCTCCAATGAGAAAAAATTTCCTGGCTAAACGCAATTGTTTTCGCATTTATATAGAGGAGTGTGTGGAACTCTACAACAAAGAAAGGGCTTACGATGAAAAGACAAACCAATGGCGTCATGCCTCACGATTCAACAAAAAAGCTGCCTGCGAAGCAAACAAGGGAAAATGGGTGACATTTCACAGCTATCTTGAAGAGGCTGAGCTTACCAAGGAGCAGTGTACTGGTGAAGAGCACATATGGGCCATTCCCTATCGCTCTGAAAGATTGGACCAGTTCAAAGGTGCTGATCCCGAGGATTGGAAGAAATGCTTGGTCGCGTTACCCAAACCAGAATGTGGACCAGCCCCGTACTCACGTTCCAATCACCTGGGTAACGGTGAGGGCGTGGTCGCTCTCAACTATCCTTGGAAGATACCCCGCTTCCCTTCAGGAGACGAACAGAAATGTGTACTGAGAATAAGGTCAGTTTTGCTGTGAACGTTTGTCTCAAAGTCCGTTTTCTCAATCTCATATAGTGTTTACGTCCGTGGACTGATTTTCGTTGTTGGCCAACTGAATACGCTGAGTACGTGTTTAACAATTTTCCATTTGAATTCAGGTACAATATCTCCACAAGCGATTACGACGTGAAAAATACATTTTCTGGTTCAAACAACGAGTAAGTATTGTTCACCTTTTTGCCGGTGGAAAATTAGAGTTATAAACAGCCGCCGAGAAAGAACAGAATATAACTTCACATTATTGGACAGGAGAAGAGAGAAGAAATATTATTTAAGATACTACTCATAAGATATATCATTCGGTTTCTGTTCATTTAATGGCACTGATCACAGATGACGAAACATGCTGTTACGGCAGCAAAATTATCCAGCTTTCGTTTCATTCTGAATCAAATCATCCTTTCACAATCAATCTTATCTCACTTTCAGTGACTCTGTCATCCAGAACGACCCGGAAGTACTCTTCGGTGAACCAAACAACAACAAGGTTCCCCTTCAGCTGGCCATAAACACGGCTCAATTCGGTCGTACATTCCAGGATCGCTCTCATGTCTTTAAGATCATACCAAGAAAGCCGGAGTTCCAGGATAAGCGAATCCTGAATCTGAATGTGCGAGGGAAGAGAGGGAATATTGTCCAGGTTTATCCCGCTGTAGAATACGACTTCTCTCCGAAGCGGATGTCGATTACGACGAATGATTATCTCCATGTCCAATGGACAGGTAATTACGAGCTGTGTGCTTATATTATTGTACAAAGAATCAATCGCAAAGAATGCTCCATTTTTGAGCAGTGTAATCTTTGTCTGAAATTTTACTGAATTACTGTATTTCAATTCTAATCCCACTTTCATTTTGTCGTATCTTTTGTCTTGTCCTTTCCTCATCTCGTAAGATTTTGTAACCGGTTTGTTTGAGTAATTTGCTTTCAAAATTTCTGAAATATATTCGGCCTATAAACATATTTAATCTTCTGAGATTGTCATATTATAGGTTCTAACAGAAATCCAAAAAACAATGCTGGTGAAGGGCGCGCACGTAAGTATATATTGTCAATACTCGTTTCATGAAACATCACACATACATTATAATCACACAACATCCTTTTCCAACATTTCACGTATTCGAACCAGAGGTCTTTTAAATGGCTTTTTTCTTTAAAAGAACATCTAGAATTGCTTTGATATTCTAATTAGACTTAGCGTTTTTTTGTTAATGTTTTCATGAAATTTTTGTTATGCAGAAACCGACCGTAGCAACATGGTCGCAATGCAATCGCCTGACAAAAGCTTCCCGCATTATGGCGGCGGTTTATTCGAAAATGCCCAAGTTGTTTATGCTCTGGACGGTACTCAAGGTATGTCGTCAGCTGACGCTGCTGTTGCCATGGCTACGGTGGGCCACTTCAAAAACGCGGCGAATGTTCCCGCCAATCTCAATCAACTGGGCGGATGTAATAGAAAGCAACTAGCTCAACTGGACTGCTATCCACCGTCCTACTCTGGGATGCTGCTGCGTTTCACGAAAGCCGGAACATACTATTACATGGGTTCCCGTAACAACAACTTCACCAATCGAAGTCAAAAGGGCAGGCTTACAGTCACCTCCGCGAAAAAATGACGTTCATAAATGTTGTGTTAGTTAAGACGCAATATGGTTCATTAAAGATTTATTTATTCCCTGCAGATATTTGTGCGTTACGGTATATTGTACGTCCATATTCGCCTTTTCCTAGATGTTTTTGTGAGCTTGAACCGTACTGTTTTATACTGGGGAGCTTTTTTGATGGACTTTTTTTGATAGAGAGCAAAACATACCTTTTCATTCCCAAAAAAACGAGTTCAAATTTACAACTTTATTTGGGGTGCTCATTTCATTGTTGTAGGAAACAGGTTTGACAAGTTGACGTAGATAAACTCAGCTGGTTGGCCAATCAATATTTTCGCATGAATCACTATTTCTTTTATAAAGATAAACAATTATACATGCAACTATGCCTGTGCCAAAGGCTCTAAACTCGCTCAAGCAGTTTTCATCCTCTTCTATATAGGAATTTAAACAGAGGAAAATTCCAATGAAATTGAAGCATGATCCGAAAATTCAAAATTGAATTGAAACAAGAAAGGTTTGTGGGAGTCAATGATAACATCAAATTCAATTGCTATCAATTTTAATATTGTTCAATGTTATCGATTGAATGGGATTTAAAGGATTTTCTGAACGGTTTTTGCAAAGATAAGGATTTATTTAACTTCTTAGATGAGCTGTACGAGATTTTCTGAAGTTCTATACCACAAAATGTCTGCTTTTCGATCTGTCAATATTTTTTCCGTGTATTCGGCATCGCCATCTTGCCCACTCGTACTGATGAAGAAACATTTATTTGTTTCGTTACCTGGGAGAAATATTCGAAATATTCGAAAAGACATTGAAATCAAATGCTTTTTTTTATATATCTTACAATCGATTCTTATCAACACGACGCCTCTGCCCTCTTCTACAGTTTATGATACAATGCTTGATAGCATTTGGCTCACAATAGACGTACTAGCCTTATGCACATGCATACAAATTTCCAACCGAGATTATAGTTTTTATATAAAGAAAGACTTTTCCACTTGCAATCTCCGCTTCAATTTCCGGTGCAATGTTCTACTCTTGTCGGTTGTGATCAAGTGGGCAGTTACGAAAGCTGCGAAGTGAAAGTACCCTTATTTGCACCTTGGTAACAATTATTTACTCGTTTGCATTTCTCAAAGGTAGAAAATCGCAAGTGTAGACGGCTGGTATTAAGGCTGAAACTCGAGTTTTAATGCAATCTGGTAGTACCTTGACGGCAAGTGGCTTTCAGAGGAGGTGTAAGTTGCCTTACCCTGGCTACCTGGGACCCTGGGGGTTGGTTGTGTCAAAAATGCGGGGGCGATCGTCGCATGTCTGTTTCAAAATATCATGTTATTATAATATCTGTTTCAAGTATCGTGATCGTTATCTAAAAGGCGACGGTGTCTACAAAAGCGTACCTAAACCTTAATTTGAGTGTTTTCTAAATTTATCTAATGACATTCATGAACGCATGGTTTAGTCCTGGTTATACACAAGTGTAACAAACTCCAGGTTTCCCGCTGAGCTTTGCCACAATGCTATGTCAAAAAATGCAAGATTAGCTTCAAAATATAGCGCGGTAATCAATATTTGTCTATTGAACTGTATGAAAGAAAAAGCTCATTATGTAGTGTTCTTACAATAACTTACACCCGATTTCCTAAATCATTTTCTTTTCGTATGTTTTTGTGGTCATTTTTTCCCACCATTCAAAATATAGCAATCTTTAACTGCTCAAAATGGTGTCATTTTAAAGCTCGTTTATATTAAATGACGATTTTCAGACATCATATTCGCACTGTGGTGCTCACAAAGGATAAAAAAGGTCTATTATTAACAGATTTGGAGGTTCAAGTATCGCCTGCGAGGCATTTGAAGCATCTGAATGACTTATCAAAAATTCAAATTCTGTCGTTATCATTAAAATTGTTTTTCAAAGTTTTGATATGATCAAAATAAGGCAATAGAGACGCACAGTTGATTGAAGAGAAGTTTCACGGGAGATCAATGAGACCAGCAGGTTAAAAACTGTGGCATTTAAGATTATTTACATGCGTTTATGATAAGGACTTTATTGGGTTTACACGAGAAAGATAAAGATTTGAGGATTTTTCTGTAAATGAGTCGATTCCTGTCACATTTTGTATTAATTTTCAGTTGAACATATCCGAATACTCGTACTAATAAATTTTACAAACTTTATGCGAGGAACGAACGTAACGTTTTTTCCGGCCAGTTGAAATTGCCATCAATTCTGCCTACGTTAAATGCGTCAAAACCCGCTGATTTATTCAAAATGTAATAAAAATAGAACTTAATGTAGGCGGCCTCTTTGAAAGAAATCTTGTCTAGTTAGCATTTATCCTTGCGCTGATACCGAAGTAATCTATCCGACATTGATTGGAATATTAGATTTACTTTTGTGTTTAAAACGCATTAAATCTTGCGCGGTATTGAACCAGTCAAGTAAAACAGCTGTTTCAACGTCAAGCCAGCCTTGTATTGTCACATTGTTATCTGTAAACAATCAAAATAATTGATAAACTGTTGAGCATATATCAAACGGTGCATATCCCGCCAGTAGCAAACTTGATCTGATCTTCGACCAGTCATCATCTCAAGAAAAGATGAGGAATCTGATTTTGTCGACCCTTTTGAGTTTGTGTGTTTTAGGACTTCACGTACGCGGCGATGTCTATCTTCATAATCCGCGGGGTTCTAACAACAGATTGTTAGGCGAAGGAGCCAATCGTAAAAATGGGAACAGAGTGTTCGACTCCCAGGTATTTGTTAAACACTTTCGAATATTGCTTGCCGTGCTGTTCTGTCTTAACACGAGTTCGTCGTTTGAATTAAAACAGCCTCGTAGTTTTGTGTTTTTCACTTAAAGTTAAAGCCGATGGTACTGATATTGTCTTGAATACTGCTATAATTTGCAATACTAATGGTGTCTATGATTTTTTGCTTGAACCTTGCCCAATTTTTACTTCCCGGGAATTATTACCGCTTCTGCACAATCAGGGATTACACCTTGCAGGAGATTAGTACCTTTCAGTTCTGGGAGATTTTCACTTTTTGGCCTGCGGTTCTACGGGATTTTCACCCCTAGGAGATTCAAGCCCCTAGGCGAATATAATCTCATATTTATTTTTAGATAAATTTGTATGGTTTGTTTTACAACAATTTTGTAATTATCTATATTACTGGAGTACTTTAACCCAACAATATATTGCATTAAACTGAGTGGGCGACTTGCTCTTTAGACTATTTTTTGATCCAAGCAATAAAAATAAAATAAATCACCACAGCTTGCAAGAGCGTACGTGAATTAAGGCAAATGCAAATTATGGTTGCGAAATTTAGTAAAATACGGAAAATATAGCCATGCAAAGTTGGCATATTTTGTATACTTTTGTATTTCGCGTGGAAATGTGTAACTAAATTAGTTACAAACTTCCGGTCGTAATACAAAAGTATAAAAAAATCGACAAATTCGCATCGCTATATTTTCCGTAATTTACAACAATTTGCCGCCAAACTTAGCAGTTTTACTAATTTTAGTAAACTCTTTCAGAAAATTTCCGTTTTTCCAATGAGATAAGAAATTAGTCTAAAGCGCAAGTCGTCCATTGATCGTGGAAAAGTAAATAAAATAGTTTTTAAGATGGTTAGAAAAATCTTGCACAATTATTTCCATTAGCTTACATCTTATCATGTTTGAAAAGTTCGACTTTCTTTTTAACTTAATCATTTTAAGTTCTGTATGCTTGAGTTTTTAAGTAGAAAATATATGTCAACACACACGTGTTCTGTTTATTGATGGAGATTTCTCTTCGCCAGAACAACGCTAAAGGTGGTTACAACGCTGGTGAAAAGAGCGAAAAAAAGACAACTGATTGGTATCATATGGTAGGTTGTTTAGGACGAGAAGGCCAGCTGTTCAAATACTTATAAACGTGATTAAACACATGTCATTTCTCTCCCCATGCACACACAGCAATATTTCATGAGCGGCACCTCGGCTGATGCACCAACTATCCTGAATCTTGAATGGACCAATCAGCATGGCTGTGGCGACGGTGACTTGAACTGTAATATCGTCTTGCAATACATGTGTCGCCCTTCCGGACAGGAGGATGAAGAAAGGGAGATGAGGAACGGTAAGAAAATACAAAATGAGACAGAGCTGGCTTCAGTTTCCCAGTCAGTATAGTGCTTTTACTTATTGGTGCAACACTGAGCATGTTTTGTCAAACGTCAGGTGCCCCAAAAACGTCTTTAAGCTTGCTCACTATAAACAACGATGATACATAAAAAAAAACATGCTCCGAAAAACATAATCTTGTGAATTAAACGAGTTATGTTTCGCGATATTTTGACTTTATTTCAAAGTCGCAAACTGATCTTTGTTTCGTTTTTGACTCGCATATTAAATATTGTTTTCAGAGCATGTTTTTCTTATTTTTCTTTAAATACTCTTATTATAATTCTTTAATTGTTGTTCTACAAGCAATAATACAAACAGGCTATCGCTCTTTAATGCAGGCAAAACAGAGTTGACCCCAATTTATAGAAAACGCAATCTCAAAAATCCTGAAAAAAAATCTGCGGAAAGAAAGGCGCAATCTCTGCTTGACAGAGCTTACAACGAGCAGTGGGAATGGTATGACAAGTGCAACAGGAGAGAAAGAAACAAAGGTTTGGATCAATCAAAAGCAGAACAATTTAGAACCAATAGAGCTACATATCCAGTGTAAATCAGTTTAGTTTAGGTTTCCTCCCGTAGTATAACACTGGTTCAATAAGAGATAATCCTTACTGGACTTCTAGGAAGAACAGTTTAGAACTGATAGAGCTATCCCGTATAAATAAAGTTAGTTTAGTTTAGGTTTCCTCGTGTAGTAACACTGGATCAATAGGAGATGATCCTTACTGAACCTCTAGGAAGAACAATTTAGAACTGATAGAGCTATCCGGTATAAATAAAGTTAGTTTAGTTTAAGTTTCTTTCTGCATATTGACACGCTTCCACGCACTTTGCTTCATTTCGATTGACGAGTTTTGATTCTTTCAACACAATCATCTGCAGGTCTGTTCACAGCTGATCAGAACCTCAAGAGAAACACAGCAAGGTACACGCGACAAAACCCGAATGGAAATCGACGAGGTTACGAGTGTCCCGAGGAAAGAGATTATTATCCATACTGGCATCCGACTGACTGGATTGATATCGCAGTCTTGGGAGACCAAGCAGATTGTGACTTTTACGAGTCACAGAGCTTCAACACCAAACCTAAGGGTACTCAAAATATATCTAATTTATCGTAATTTTAGAACAAGCTCCGCTCCAGCTTCCACCTCACAAAAGCTTATTGGAACCATGACTGTTTTCAGTTGAATTTCAATAGAACGTTCTGCAATGTTATTATTAAGTCTTTACTCGTGATTTGCATACTTTAAGAGCACATGTCAGAGCCCTGTACCCGAATATATTTTCCCTTTCCAACGAGAATAGGATTTTCTCAAGCAACGCCGATTTCCTTGGCAGGTTGTGGCTAAAGGCAATTGTTTTCGCATTTATATAGAGGAGTGTATGGAACCTTATAACAAAAAAAAGGCTTACAATGAAAAGACAAACAAATGGCGTCATGCCTCACAATACAACAACAAAGCTGATTGCGAAGCAAACAATGGAATATGGGTGACATTTCACAACTATCTTGAAGAGACTGATCTTAGTGAGGCACAGTGTACTGGTGAAAAGTACATCTGGGGCATTCCCTATCGCTCTGAAAAATTGGACCAGTTGAAAGGTACTGATCCCGAGGTCTGGAAGAAATGCTTGGTCGCGTTACCCAAACCAGAATGTGGACCAGCCCCGTACTCACGTTCCAATCACCTGGGTAACGGTGAGGGCGTGGTCGCTCTCAACTATCCTTGGAAGATACCCCGCTTCCCTTCAGGAGTCGAACAGAAATGTGTACTGAGAATAAGGTCAGCCTCAATGACTTGCTCTCGGTCCCAGGAGTTTTATCGTCCGTTGAATTTTCATAATTGGCCAAATACTGAATACGCACTGAGAGTACGTGTTCAACAATTTTTTTTCCATTTTAATTCAGGTACAATATCTCCACAAACGATTACGACGTGAAAAATACATTCTCTGGTTCAAACGACGAGTAAGTATTGTTTACCTTCTCGCATTTTGAATGACTGAAGAAAAATAAAATTTCTTACACAGCCTTGGACGAGACAGACATGAACTAAATTTTAGACATGCATTACAATATCTTAATATTTGCAAACTGCATTTCGTGAAACTCGAATGGCGCAGTGGAAATTTCTCTCATTTTCATGTAAGACGAACTCTCTTGACGAAGGCCCTCAGGTCGAAACGTCGAGAAGTGTTTTGTCTATTTTAGGCAGTTGATATACCACATTTGATGCTATGTTCCAATCAAGAGCATTCTACATCATAAAGCCTTCGTTATAAGCATTACGTATTTTTCTAAAAAAAGACTACTGGTGAATTCAAAATTGAATTTAACACGCTACTGGTGAATTCAAAAGTATCGAGGTCTTGTTGAGCTCTTCTTAGGATCATTCCTATTTCATTTTTTCAGCGACTCTGTCATTGAAAACGACCCAGAAGTAGAGTATGGGGCACCAGACAACAACAAGGTTCCCCTTCAGCTGGCCATAAACACGGCTCAATTTGGTCGTACATTCCAGGATCGCTCTCATGTCTTTAAGATCATAAAAAGAGAGGCAGAGTTTCAGAATAAGCGAATCCTGAATCTGAATGTGCGAGGGAAGAGAGGGAATATTGTCCAGGTTTACCCCGCCGTAGAATACGACTTCACTCCAAAGAGGATGTCGATTACGACAAATGATTACCTCCATGTCCAATGGACAGGTAATTACGAGCTTTGTGCTTATATTCTTGTACAAAGAATCAATCGCAAAGAATGCTCCATTTTTGAGCAGTAATCTTTGTCTGAAATTTTACTGAAATACCGTATTTAATTCTAATCCAACTTTAATTTTGTCATATCTTTTGTCTTGTCTCTTCTTCATCTCGTAACATTTTGTAACCGGCTTATTTGAGTAATTTGCTTTCAAAATTTCTGAAATATTTTTGCAGCCGTTTAATAATTTAACCTCCAGCTGAAATGTTTTAGGTTCCAACAGAAATCCCAAAAACAATGCTGGTGAAGGGCGCAAACGTAAGTATATATTGTCAATACTCGTTCGTGAAACATTCACACATACATTATAATCACACTACATCGCTTTCCAACATTTCACGTATTCGAACCAGAGGTTTTTAAAAGCAAATGGCTTTTTTCTTTAAAGGAAGATCTATGCTTGTCTATCGGTTTTGTTTTGTCATGAATTCATGAAATTTTTGTTATGTTAGAAACCGACCGTAGCAACATGGTCGCAATGCAATCGCCTGACAAAAGCTTCCCGTATTATGGCGCCGATTCATTCGAAAATGTCCAAGTTGTTTATGCTCTGGACGGTACTCAAGGTATGTCGTCAGCTGACGCCGCTGTTGCCTTGGCTACGGCGGGCCACTTCAAAAACGCGGCCAATGTTCCCGCTAATCTCAATCAATTGGGTGAATGTAATAGACAGCAACTAGCTCAACTGGACTGCTATCCACCGTCCTACTCTGGGTTACTCCTGCGTTTCACGAAAGCCGGAACATACTATTACATGGGTTCCCGTAACAACAACTTCACCAATCGAAGTCAAAAGGGCAGGCTTACAGTCACCGATTAGAAAAAAATGACGTTACATAATTATATAAAATGCTACGTCAATTTGTGCATGTTAGTTACGTTCAAACAGGGTCAATAAGATATATTTTGCCCTGCAGATAGTTTGTTCATGTGTTAGTTACGGTATATTATATGCCTATAGCTATATAACCCTTCTAGATATTTTTGCGATCTGTTTTCGCAGTCACTAACTACGTAAAATATTTTTCTTTGTATAATCTTTTCAACTTTGCCGTTTGTAATCGTTTTAGTATTCAAGGATTTCTTAATAAAATTATACCCAACATTTCAGTTTTTACCTCTCTGGAAATATAATTTAAAAAGTGTCCAAATGGTTACCGCTAAAATCGAGTAAAAACTACAGCTATATTTGAGCAGTTATTTATTTGTATGAATGTAGGAAAGTTGGACAATTAAGCTGACGCGATAACATCACTCCGGTTAGATAATCGATTTCCAGAAACTCAATGTCAATGAAACAAACACCATTATGTTATTAAAGATGTACGTCACTTGTGAAGTGACATTTCGCTAATGAGTTTTAAACTATATAAAACTATTATCATAACATAAAATGAAATATTTTTATCTAATCCAAGCCAGGCTGTAATGACAAGTCCATATGCAGTCGAAAATCCAAATTGAAACGTATTCAAATTCAGGCATCGACAAAGCCATCATGTTAGGATTTTAATTGTGTACTTTTCGCCGAAATTCGTAACATTTTCTCATGTATTTTTTAGTGTTTTAAACGTGCAAAAGATCAATTAACTGTCGGTCTTTCTCGTGAGTTGCATAACAAACAAATTTTTGATATATTCATTAGTCTTTTATTTGAGCTTTCAAATTAATGCGAAATGCTAAATTTCGTTGACAAATAACTCTCCAACTCGTCCGTAAATAGCAAATAATTGCTTGTGGCCGCAGTAGGGGTGGCTTTTGAGAAAAAAATTAATCACAAATGCTGTCGTATAATATAAATTATTCATTTGCATCTGCCCGTAATATATGTTATACGTATATGTTTGAAGTTGCAATGTATTGAATATCATGCAAAGTTCACTTCACATATAAATGTGTTGTTTCGTTTTGGAAGAGCAGGGATATATATCTTTTAGGTATGTTGTTTCTTGATTTTTTAAACAGTACGAGTTGAAATTGATTGCTTGAAGTATTTTGTGAACAATAATATGTCATTATATTCTATGTTTGACGTTTGTAATCGCACGTTACAACATGAATTCAGTATTAAACCGAAAGCCATGCATATGCCTGCAATTACATAGAAATTGTATATCTTGACAATTGATACATGAAAGGATTTTCGTCAAGGTTTTCAAAGTCCGTCTTCTTCAGATAAACTTGGCTACAACTTGATAATTAAACAAAAAACTGTATAAGTTTAGCAAACAATTAAAAGATCTTTTTGAATGCATTATATATATATTATGATTCTATATATTAATATGATGCACGCATCTTTTCTGTCGGTGATCTACGTTGATCATGTTGACAAAAATATGCTTACATTTCACAACTACCTGGGATTCTGACAACTATACCTAAGAAAAGAAAACGATTTCAAATGAGCATTTTGCATTTCGGCTACTTTGTGTAAATTTCGTCTAATAAATAATATGAATGATATAATATGTCTGATGGCGAACTTTTATTTCGTCAAAATCGTCATAGACATGCTGATATATACCTTCAAGTCGAATAATCGTTTTCATAATAACGACAAAAACTAAAGAATACTTTACAATTTTCTGCTGTCTTATCAAATCGGTTACAGTTACGGATCCGATGCGATGCAGTAGTCATGGCAATATTAATTGTAAATAATATAATAGTTTTTATTAAATATGTCTAAAATTAAACCCATTTTGTAATAATTTCATCAATATTCATGATTCAAAGCTGTTGACAACCTGTAAGTTTAGTGGATCTTATGGGCTATGGCCAGAGAAGAACCAGTCTAAAATAGTCCTTCCAAGGCATGGAAAACGTTCTTCAATTTGATAAACGTGAGAACGATACCTTTGACTCAAAAATTTTGAATTAGGATTGTATCGATAGAATTTGAAGATGTATAATAATGCGGTTTATGTTTGAGACGGCTGCACGTTTCATCGTGATGTTTACCTTTCTTGAATGATGAAGTCTAATTTCTAAAGATTTCAGTCTAAAGTCTAAAGAGCTTGCAATCGATATTAAATAAACTAATATCTTCTTTTAACTCGTTTGCAGGTGTTCCTATTTTGTTTCCTCTGATTTCCGTTCCGTTATCGTTGATTTCATTCGTTGGGCTAACCTTAGAAGTTAGAACTTAGAAGATGGCGATTTCCACGAGATCACATTATTCCACTCTAGTGTTCATGGTTGTTCTTTGGTGCAGTCATGTGAGTGTTGCGACGAAATCTCGTCTCGTGATTGGCGGCCTGGCGGGTATCGATATTCAAAATGAGGGTTGGTCGAGCGCCGGCGTGATACCAGCCGTAGAACTCGCTTTGGAAAGAGTCAATAATTATTCGGAGATTCTGAAGGATTATTACTTGGATATAGAATGGAAAGACTCGAAGGTATGTCTGTCATATTTGTATCGACTTTTTGACAGCTAGTAAGATATTAATCTTTATCTAATGATCTATTTAAAGTGTGCAAGTGGTTTTGGTATAAAAAGCATGATTGAACACCTCACCGAAACTCCGTCAAAAATTGCATTTCTCGGACCTGGTTGCTCGATTGCAGCCGATCCGGTTGCTGAGACGCTGCCATTTTGGAATCTCACCGAGGTATATCGCAAGACATTGAAGCCTTTCTGGGGCCAGTTGTTCGAAAAGCGTTTAGCTTAAACGGCGAATAAGCCAAAGTTTAAAAATACTCTCATAGATCTTGTGAATGACTGAACCTGCATCTCACACATTTAATATGTATACTTCCATTCATAATTAAACAATTTACATCGAAAATTTCGGCTCTGTTGTTCAATAAATAGATAATTTTGTTTTCCATTTTGAACTTATCCACCGTTTAAGATAAACACCTTTCGAACAATCGACCCCTGATTGGACTGATTTCCACTTGCAGTGAGTAAGTACTGAGTGGTTCACAAGCACAAACTTTTGAATTATATGCAAACAATTAACACAAAGAAGTGACGGCTGTCATCAGTATAGTGTGTCTTGGAACCAAATAACAAGCTTTTTAGAATTAGCATTAAACTGGTCTGCATGTTTTTTGCGAAACGGTTACTCGTTGATAATGAGTTTATCTTTCGTTTTGCGATAGATTAGTTTCAGCCTGACATCGCCAATCCTATCAAACAAGGAAAAATATCCCAATATATACCGCATCAATCCCGCGGAGATCATCCATGATCCAGCATTGTTGGCCTTGACAAATCATTTTAATTGGGAGAGACTTTTCATCATCAAGCACGAACTGGGTTTATTTAACTTGGTACGTTCTGATATAAATTTTAGAGAATTTCTTTGGAATGTGCTTGCAGTATAGATCCGATGGTCAGAGCTGCCATTTCGCTGAGGAACACATGTGAAATCTCTAAGTTGTTTGTTGTTGTTTTAAATCACTTGTAGATTACAGAGGCATTGCAAGCAATGTTGACAAGAAATAAGAAAAGAGTTAACGTTGTTGGTTTTCTTAGAAACGCCACAAGTCCAATCAAATTATTGAAGGTAAAACTACGGTTTGAATTTTCCTGCAATTTTTATTTTTGATTTATCATGCTTATTTTATATTGTTAAGTGTGTTCTATGTTCTACAGGACCAAGGTGCAAGAATTCTTATCGTTTATATGTATGAAAGCCAAGCACGAGATTTATTCTGTGCGGTAAATTTCGTTCTTTTTTGAAATATACCATACCATACCATACCAAACCATACCATACCATACCATACCATACCATACCATACCATACCATACCATACCATACCATACCATACCATACCATACCATACCATACCATACCATACCATACCATACCATACCATACCATACCATACCATACCATACCATACCATGCCATGCCATGCCATGCCATGCCATGCCATGCCATGCCATGCCATGCCATGCCATGCCATGCCATGCCATGCCATGCCATGCCATGCCATGCCATGCCATGCCATGCCATGCCATGCCATGCCATGCCATACCATACCATACCATACCACACCACACCATACCATACCATACCATACCATACCATACAATACCATGCCATGCCATAATAAAAAACTGACATGCATGCATTTTTTCATACAGGCTTTTAAGAATGAATTTTACGGTCCAGAAATCGTGTGGATTTTGCGCGGATGGTACCAAAAACAGTGGTGGACTATACCTGATACAGAATGTTCAGTTGAAGATATGAGGAAGGTCATGACAAACGTGATCTACGCCGAACATGTTAATTACGGAACTAATAAAAATGTTACAGTACTTGGATTGGTAAGTTACCACAGTTGTCAAGCTAATAATGAAAAACTCCAAGTTTAGGTCGATTTGGGTCCTTTTTTAAAATAAGCTGTGAAGGAAGTTACCAATGAATAAATAAATAAATGTACCAGATGAGAACCAGCATTCTACATCGATTTATTGTTTTTCCCCGAAAGACGCAGGCAGAATTTCAGGACAAATACAACGAGTTGATTCGAAAGAAGAACAGTACGATCTACGATGCCAACAAATATGCTCCTTATAGTTACGATGGTATTTTCATGCTTGCTCACGCATTAAACGCCACGGAAGAAGAGTTGAAAAGAATGAACCAATCCCTGCGCGACTTCACGTATGCACGGCTGGATATCACTGAGATTATTAAAGAGAAGATTAGTAAAACGGATGACATCGAAGGACTAACTGTGAGTGAGAAAACCTGATCTTTCTAACTGTACCTTCTCATTCGTAATTCCCACCTCTTTTTCATGCCCGTCATCTTGTTGGCTGAAGTCACAAACACCTACACCTATCCCATCTTCTTCGCCAACACCTACCTGAACTCCCATCTTCTTCACCAACACCTACCTGAACTCCCATCTTCTTCACCAACACCTCCCATTTTCTTCACCAACACCTCCCATCTTCTTCACCAACACCTACCACCTCCCATCTTCTTCAGTTAAATCTACCACCTCCCATCTTCCTCACCAACACCTACCACCTCTAATCTTTTTCACGGATACCCACAATGTTTGATGTTTCATCTTCTCTTGCAACCATCACCTGATTTTCCATCATGTACTTCAGGGCGATATCA